ACCTGAGATTTTCCTTTCCTGAGGCAGGCTTGTGTCGCTGTAAACTTCCCTCTGAGAACGGCTTCTGCTGCGTCCCGGAGGTCTGGGATCGCTGTGCTTGCGTTTTCATTTGTCTCAGTACTTTCTGATTTCCTCAGTGATCCACTAGTTGCTTAGTCTCCACGTGTTTGCAGCTTTTGCAGTTTTCCTAGTAGTTGATTTCTGACCTTATAGTGCTGTGGTCTGAAAAGATGCTCAGAACAATTTCGAGTTTCTTAAATTTACCGAGGCTGGCTTTGTGGGCCAGCATGTGGTCTATTCCGGACAATGCTCTGTGCACACTTGAGAAGAAGGTGTGTTCAGTTGCTTCCGGACAGGATGCTCCACAGACATCAGTCAAGTCCGTCTGCTCTAGTGTTTCCTTACTGGCTTTCTGCCCGGGTGACCTGTCCACTGACGGAAGTGGGGTGCTAGGGTCCCCACTATTTTTGTTATTGTCAGTTTCCCCTTTTACGTCTGTTAACAGTCGCCTTGTGTATTGAGGTGCTCCTAGGTTGGGTGCATATTTATTTACAATCGTTACGTCTTCTTCTTGGATTGACCCCTTGAGCATTATGTAGTGTCCTTCTTTGTGTCTTGTAACAGGCTTTATTTTAAAATCGACTTTGTCTGATGTAAGTATTGCTACTCCAGCTTTCTTCTCGTTTCTGTGTGCATGGAATATCATTTTCCATACCCTTATTTTCAGCCTGCAGGTGTCTCTAGCTGTGAGGTGGGTCTCGTAGACAGTGCATATATGGGTCTTGTTTTCATATCCATTCAGCCAGTCTGTGCCTTTTGGTTGGAGTGTTTAATCCATTTACATTTAAGGTAATTTTTGATATGTATGTTCTTATTGCCTTTTGCTAATTGTTTTGTAGGTTTTTTTTTTCCTCTTTCTTCTTTTTGTTCTCTTTTCTTGCGGTTTGATGACTAGAGAAGGTCCTTTAACGTTTGTTGTAAGGCTGGTTTGGTGGTGCGGAATTCTTTTAGCTTTTGCTTGTCTGTGAAGCTTTTGATCTCTCCATCAGGTCTGAACGAGAGACTTGCTGGGCAGAGTGTTCTTGGTTGTAAGCTTCCCCCTCTCATCACTTTAAATATTTCGTGCCCCTCCCTTGTGGCCTGCAGAGTTTCTGCTGAAAAGTCAGCCGATAACCTCGTGGGAGTTCCCTAGTATGTCATTCGTTGCTTTTCTCTTGCTAATTTCAAACTTTTCTCCTTATCTTCCATTTTTGTCAATTTGATTACGGTGTGCCTCGGTGTGTTCCTCTCTGAGTCGATCCCGATTCCGTGTGGAACTCTGCACTTCCTGGACTTGGGTGACTGTTTCCTTCCCCAAGTTGGGGAAGTTTTCAGTTACTGTCTCTTCAAAAATTTTTCTCTGGTCCTTTCTCTCTCTCTTCTCTTTCTGGGACACCTGTAATGCAAATATTAGTGTGCTTCATGTTGTCCCAGAGTTCTCTTACACTATGCTCATTTCTTTTCATTCTTTTTTCTTTATTATGTTCCGCAGTGGTGATTTCCACTAATCTGTCTTCTAGCTCACTGATCCGTTCTTCCGCCTCATTTAATCTATTCTTGTTCCTTCTAGTGTGTTATTCATTTCAGTGATTTTATTCTTCAGTCTGGGTATTCTTTATGTTTTCCAACTGTTTGCTAAAAACTTCGCTCTGTGCATCTGTATTCCTCTTGAGTTCTCTGAACATCTTCACCATCATTACTGTAAACTCTTTCTCGGATAAATTGCCTCTCTCTTCATCACTTATTTCTTCTTCTGGGATTTTGTCTTGTGCCTTGGCCTGGGAGATATTCCTCTGCTGCCTCATGTTGTCTGTCTTTCTATTTGTATCTTTAGGTAGGTTAGTTAACGTTTCTCGATCTTGGAGAGGTGGCCCTCTGGGAGACGTCCTGTGCGTCTCAGCAGTGCACTCCTCTCTTGTCACCCAAGGGTCAGGGTCCAGCCAGTTCCAGGATAGAGTCTGGCCTGTGTGTGTGGATTCCTTCCACAGGCTTTAGGATTGTTGTTCTCTTATTTCTGGCATCTGCCCCTGGTGGGTGAGACTGGACTAGAGGCTTAGGCAGGGTTCCTGGCAGGAGGAGCCAGGGTCTGCCCACTGCTGGGTCCTGGACCTCTGGTGGGTAGGACCATGTTATTCTGCTGATGGGTGGGGCTGTGTGCCCACCCTGTACGTTGTTTGGCCTGAGGCTTCCCCACAGGCTGTTGGCTGGGGCTGAGTCTTGATGCTAATGAGCTGATCAAGATGTCAGCCTCCAGGAAAGCTCATGTAGATGAACACTCCTGGAATGTTTGCCACCAACTTTTATGTCCCCTGGGTGAGCCGCAGCCATCCCCTACCTCCCCAGGAGACCCTCCAAAAGCAGCAGGCAGGCCCGGCCCAGGTTGCTACGGAATCACTGCCTGTACCCTTGGATCTGGCGCACACAAGATTCTGTGTACGCTTCCCAAGAGAATGAAGTCTTTTTCCCCCAGTCCCATGGGGCTCCTGGAGCTAAGCCCCACTGGCCTACAAAGCCAGATGTCCTGGAGTCTCCTCCTCCCAGTGCCAGAACCCAGGCTGGGGAGCCTGACGTGGGGCTCTGAGCTCCCACTCCTGTGGGGGGGCCTCTGCACCTTAACTATTCTTCAGCTTGTGGGTCGCCCACCTTGGGGGTATGGGGCCCGGTTATATTGTGAGCACGCCCCTCCTGCCGTCCTGCTGTGGGTCCCTCTTTGTTTCCAGTTGAAGACGATCTTTGCTAAGTTTCAGTCTCTCTTCAGTGGTTGTCTGCAGTCAGCTGTGGTTCTGTTGTAGTTGCAAGGGGATGCGAGCTCGTGGTCCTACAAGGGTTGGTGTTTCAACCAATTCTCCGGCTCAGAGCCCCTCCCACTTCCAGGGGAGCGCAGACTGTGCCTCCCTAAGCCCTGGGGGTCATCAGTACACACAGCGGCACCTCAGCTTCCCTCTGTGACCTGAGGCTTAGCGGCCGGGATCACAGCTCCCAGCACAATGACTCTCCCCGTCTTGGGGATAGGCCTTCCTGTGGCAACCAGTCCCTTATGTGGAACGAACAGGTTTGGGAGGGGACCTGGCTCAACCATGTGAGCAGGACTGCAGTTTTACCCAGAAGCCCCTACCCTCACTTTCCCTGAGGGGAGACTGAACCCACGGAAGGCAGAGGGCAGGAGCTGGGAGCCCAGGGGCTCTGTGCACGTGCAGCGGATGCTGTCTAGCCCGAGTCCCCAGCGGCCCTCCATCCCCCCTGCTCCATGCCAGGCCCTGCGATAGCCACAGCTGAGCCTGTTGGACAGGGCTGTGCCTTGGTGGGCGAGTGTGGGGTGTGGAGTGCTGGGCTATGAGAACTAGGAACATCCCAAGGGGTGGACACATTCTGGGAGAAAGGAAGGAACGTGCAAAGGCCCTGTGGTGGGGGAAAAAAACAGATCATGTCTGAGACACTGATAAGGAGGAGGGAAGCAGAAAAGGGAGGGGGTGGGGACAGCCGGGGATGGTCCTGCTCCGACCAGAGCCTGTATGTCCTTCCCGCTGTGCAGTGGGCAGTGGGCAGTGGGGGGAGGGTGCCCTGCCTAACTGGACTTCCAGAGGATCCCTCCAGCCGCCTGGTTTCAGTGATTCAAGGTCGGGCCTGAGCAGTGCTAGCGACCAGGCAGGCAGGGACCCAAGGGGCTAGGTGCATTGGGATAAGGTTCCTGGCAGGGATCAGAGTGGAGGTCCCAGCCTGATCGATGTGGGCCGAGGGTCCTGTGGGCCACAGCGGGAGGACAGAGCAGGGGCACTGCAGCCGGGCCTGCCTTGTGGTGGGCAGAGCCGGGGTCAGAGGAGGGACCGGGATGAAGGCAGGACTGGCTGAGGGTGGCGCCCACCGAGTGGCCCTGGGGATCAGGGAGGAGCAGTCTACCCAGTGCACAGCTGACCCCACGGGGGCTCTGGCCAGGTGCTGGGAGAGGCCCCAGCTTGGAAGTTGCCTGAGAGTGGAGGCACTGGGGAGCCTGTGAGGGGAGGACAGGTGTGTAGGGGTCACTGGGACGGTGATCTCGGCAGCCAGGAGAGGTGGGAGCCCTGGGTGAGGACGGGGCCTTGCCAGCAGCAGAGGGTGGGTAGTTACAGGGGCTGTGGGAGTGGGTCGACCCCAGGTCAGGCACTGGGCCAGGAGGGAAGGGTGGGGGCGGGCAGCAACACACAGGGGCTGAGGGCAGCACCTGGGGCCGCTTCTGCCTCTGGCATTCAGCCCAACCCCCTCCCGTCCGGTGTCCAGCCAGGAGCCTGGGTCTGCCCTCTGCCCTCCCTTCCCTCCCTGGGGGCAGGGGAGGTGGCGGCCTGGGTGGGTTTAAAACAGGCGAGCCTCCTTCTAGGCAAGGTCATAAAAATAGCGGAATGGCAGAAAAGCCTGGCCAGCACCCAAAGCAGCATCAGGGTCTGGGGGCAGCTTGCACAACAGCCCAAGGCCTGCTGGCCCCTGCCTGCCCAGAGATGGCTGTCTGTGGCGCAGCCTGCTCCCTGACTGCATAGGCATCGGCCAGGCTGGGACAAGGTCCACGGCATGGTGTCTGGCCAGGCTGGTGCCCCTGCAGTGGCGCCTTCCCTGACCTTCCAGGCTGCCCTGGGGGCCCTCCCTGAGCAGGCCTGCGCCGCACCTGCCTGTGTCCACAGCAGCCCGCAGCCAGCTGGGCACGTGGTGGGGACAGGCCTGAGTGGGGCCAGGGAGCTGCGGGATGGGGTGAGTCCAGAGGGGCCTGTGGCCACCGCCCACACCCAGCCTCTGCCCCCAGGAGATTGTGGACTGGTTCAACGCGCTCCGGGCCGCACGCTTCCACTACTTGCAGGTGGCCTTCCCCGGGGCCAGCGATGCGGATGTGAGTGGCTGTGTTGCCTTCAACCTCGGGTCGGGGTGGACGGCGGGTGGTGGGCTGACCAAGGGCCCACGTGGACCCCCCGAGACCCCTGCCAGTGACTGGCCTGTGGGCCCTGCAGACCACGGCACCCCTGCTGTGTGCCTGAGTGGGGGTGGCCAGGGAGGGGTGGCCTGGGGGCTGAGCCAGGTTCTGCCCTAGCTGGTGCCGAAGCTCTCCAGAAACTACCTTCAGGAAGGCTACATGGAGAAGACGGGGCCCAAGGTGAGTCTGAGCTGGAGCCCCGGGTGCCCAGGCCTCCTTCCAAGGTCATGTCTTGGTCACCTGGGGCCGGGATGGGGGTCAACAGTGCCAGGTGAGGCCTCAACTTGCCCCCAGAATGTCTTGTAAGCGCAGAGGCTCCCCTGACCTGGGCCACCTCCCAGCCCTGCCTCCCGCCCTCCCCGCTCACAGCTCTCTGCACCCTTGGGCCAGAGCCAGCTCGGCCCAACCCTGCCGTGTGTGGGGGGGTGAAGGGGGACACAGGAGACTTGGATCCCAGGACGCAGGTGGCCCACATTCTGGCCCAGACTCCGTAGGCACGTGGACAGGGCCCACGGGAGGAGCTGGTGCGGGGGGTGGGCTGGGGTTGGGGGAAGAGCATTGAGGCAGGAGGAGCAGTAGGTGCGAGGACCTTGTGTACAGCCGGCCCCCAGCAGGTATCAGCCAGTGAGGATGGGTGGGTGGACGAACTGGCGGCCTCGCCCTCCTGGTGGTGACCGCCCGGCACCCTCGCCCCACAGCAGACAGAAGGCTTCCGGAAGCGCTGGTTCACCATGGATGACCGGAGGCTTATGTACTTCAAAGACCCCCTGGTAAGGACGGCGGTGGTCTCAAATCTGCTGGGGCTGCGTGGGCTGTCTGGCAGGGCCCCCCGCAGGGTGGCTGTGCCTCCCTGGGTTACCCACAGGACCGAGAAGAGCTGACTGGCCGATGTTTGCTGGACACACGCCGCGGGTGGCTGGCTACGCTACTGGGGGAGGGGGCTGGTGCCCCCTACTCAGCCTGGTGCCCGCCTGCAGGACGCCTTCGCCCGTGGGGAGGTCTTCATCGGCAGCAGGGAGAGCGGCTACACGGTGCTCGATGGGCTCCCGCCATCCACCCAGGGCCACCACTGGCCGCACGGCATCACCATCGTCACGCCCGAGCGCAGGTTCCTGCTGGCCTGCGAGACGGAGTCAGAGCAGCGGGCGTGGATGGAGGCGCTCCGGACGGTGGTGGACCGGCCCATGCTGCCCCAGGAGTACGCAGGTGAGGCGCGGGGCAGCCTGGGGCTTGAGCCTGACGACCCGCAGGGCCGGGCCCAGGCTGGACACCTGTCCCTTTTCCAGTGGAAGCCCACTTCAAACATAAACCCTAGCGAGAGATGGCCGTGGGAGCCCGAGGACGCGGACTCACTGGATGTGGCCGGCGAGGAGGCAGCAGCCAGTGAAGGAGCGAGCCCTTGGCGCGGCCAGGTGGGGCCTGAGCTTTCGCCACTAGGACCTGTTTCCCTAGAACCCCACTGCGGGCCGGCCCGGACTGACCTCTGACCCCATTCTGCTGCTGCCCCCCGACGTGACGCCCACTCCCTCCCTGCCCGCTGGCTCACTGTTCCTGAGGCCCCAGCCTGGCCCCCAGCGGCCCCTGCCCACCTGAGCACCAGGAGGCCGGGCTGTGGGGACAGCGGGCCGGCCCGCATGCCCCCCATCCTGCCCCGTGTCCCCGCCTCCCCCCACAACAAGTATTTATTGAGCACTTGCTGTGTCAGTCGTGGGGTCCTGGGTGCTAGAGTGGAGGACGTGGGCCTCGTCCTCAAGAAGCCGACTGGCGTGTGCGTGTGGGTCCTGGCGCTGACCGCTGGCCTGCCCTCAGTCCCGGAACGCTGGGGGGATGGAGGCCCTGTGTGCTGCTGGCTAGCGCTCTAGCGCTCACTGCCACCGAGCCTCTCCCGGGTGCCGTCCCTGAGAACATACATACTCACGGGAGAAGTGGAGGATGTGCACAGGGTCTCATCACCCCAGGAAGCCAGAGGAGCTGGGGGAATCGGGATCACCTGCTGGGCTATCTGGGTGGTGTCCTGCCTGGCCAGGACAGCCCCCCTCCATGTCACATCCAGGAATAAAGTTGGGGCTCTGGGCCCACGGCCTCTGGTATGTGCTAGGAAAGGGACTTCCCCCAACCCCGGAGTGGGGCACCCAAGGGCCTTGGGGAGGTGCCCTTCCTCCAAGCCCTCGTCTCCTTCCACATCCGAGCAGCACCCACAGCTCAGACCCATCACAAACCTGGATTCTGGGCGGGGGGTGGCGGGGCGCACAAGGTGCCTCTCCTTGCAGGGGGACCCCAGCCCACCCATCTCAGCCCTGCCCTTGCTAAGGCTGCCAGGGCAGGGGCCCCAAAATGGTTGGGCTGTGAGTGAGGACAGCCACAGGGTGCCCTGCACAGCCGTGGGGTCACCCAGGGCCCTGGCCCACCCTCTCAAAGACCCTGCCTGCCCTGGCAAGTGCATCCCCCCAGGAGAGCCTTTCCCGCAGAACCCAGGTCCCCCGTCCGCCCTCACTGACCCATCTTCCAGATGCGGCAACTTGAGCCTCAAGAGGCAGGGCTCATCCTGGGACACGAGAGAAAACCCCAGGCCCCTAGCCTACCCGCCTGGGTGGGGCTGGGCGTGTGTGCGTGAACGTGAGGGTGTGGGGGTGTGTGTGTGTACACCCACGTGCTGTACCCAGAAAACCGACACCTTAACGTTCCGGAAGGAAACAGAACAACATGCACCGCCATCCGACCAGCGGGAG